ATTTAATTATTAATAAATTAGTATATCTTTGTTTACAAGGATGAATCATAAGATGATACACAGGACAAAACACATTTTTTGAGAGCACCGAAGGCACACTGGTTCCTTCCAAGCTTTTGTATGTTGTCTTTCTCTCCTTACAAGGTGGGCACAGACTACATGTTTTTCTCTTCTAACTTTTCTTCTTGATTTGATAAATCCAATTCTCCTAATTTCCTTCCGTCCAAGAATTCTTCTAACTGTTATCTTCAGTTCCCTTGGCAAAAAAGCGGAAGTTATTCCAACTTTCAGATGCTGTTTAATAAGTTCATTAGCTAATAAAAGCATTTTTTATTCGTTTCAGTTTTGTAGCATTAGGGTATGACTGGAACAATAAGTATGAACATAAATTTTAAGTATCTTCGCACTCTGCTCTGGAGCCTATTTTTGCAGGATGTTTCAAACCAAGGAGCTGAATTATTATGTTATGCTTTAGAGTTCGTACCGCCCCGATTTGGTTCTTTTTTCCACCATTTGAAAAGCTTCTTTTCATAAAAGTTATCATTTTGTTCACAATCATTAGAAAAATTACGATCATCGTATGCAGAAAGCTCATATTCACTTTTGCTTTCGCTGTGAATACTATACATGATTCTTCAGAATTAGCGCATTCTACATCAAAAATATTGTTGACAAGATATTCAGTTTCTTTTTCAGTGAGATATATGAGACGGTTTCTTGTAAAATTTGAAGTCATATTTATCGTTTTTACGAAAAACAAGTATCCGATAAATAACTTCCATCATCCACTAAAACTGGTACTCATTCATCTGCTGTGAGCGGTCTCCCAAACACCTTAAAAAGTAAAAAACGTGATAATTGAAACCATGATAAAGCTAGAATTGTGAAACTGGATATGTGACTTTGCGGGACGGGTTTAGGAAGGTAGGAGGAAGGACAGAGACCATTCTCCGTTTTTAGGAATGGAAACGACGGTTAGAAAATCCTCAGCGGTCTTTTAAACCGCTCACACAAGTTAAAGGTTGTAACAAAAATTTGATTTTAAATTGATATATAAATTTAACTGAATTTAATAACGTCATATTAGGTAAAACAGATTGATCAACAAACCTATTCTTTGCAATGTTATTATCCCCGATATCTCAAAAACACTGAATATATCAAAAATTAATGTTAAGTGATAACAGCTGATCTTAACAGTATAAAGTATCTATTGTATGGGATACAAGTGCCTATTAGGATCGAATGGTTCAAATAATACACATTTATGAAATCCAAACGTTTCTATTACTACGCTATTTTAAAATAGATTGAATAGTTCATTGGTCTTTCCCTTCAGTCTTATACTTCCTTCTCATTATGAGTTCTAGAGACCAGCACGCAACACAGCGGAGGACAGCTCTATCAAAAGGATACGCCCAATTGGAAGACTCGCGTACACGCCCAAGTTCGAACATATAAAATAAATCGAATCTCCTATACCTTCCCTGCTGTTACAGGAAATGCAGGGAGGGGAGGGAGAAATCCTGCTTCTATCTTTGACTTCATGAGAAGCCACCAACGCAAACGATGGAGCGGATTTTATTGCTCACCCCACCAAGAAAAATCTTTCATTCTTCCTCCCTTGAGACCCCTTCCAAAGTGATCTCTCCTGTTTTCCCGCAAGGTACGCCTCGAGTTCTAAAACCCAACAGGAGAACAGATCCGAGCTTGAATACATTTGCTAGCTACAGACTTAACAACGATGCATTAGGGGTTACCATCAAATTCATGAAGTAAACGTAGTTGTATATGCCACTGCTTTTATGGTGCTGTCAAGTTGCTTTCATGTCTTCATTTTTGTCAGACTTTTTTTTTTTTTTTTTTTTCCCAGCCCAAAAGGGACTATTAGTCGCGGATTTTGCGTTGAATCACTATAAATGCGTCGTTTCGCTTTCCGTTCGACGACTCTGTTGCCATTTGGCAAAATGTGAGATATTTGTCTTTCAAAATAAATCTGTCTTTTGCGGATTAACAAACTAAGCTATCTGAAAGCAACAGTTAGTTCTTAATAATATCCGTTTCTCACTTTTAGATCTGATTGATTCTCACTTTTAGATGGGACTAATTTAAATCTTAAAAATGCATTTAATTCATGAGCTATCCATTTAAAAATATTCATTATCCGTTTAACGAATCATACATTCGTTAAAGTTTTATAAAATATGAAATAGACAATAAAGCAAATCCAAACTAGGACTTCCAGCTGCTCATATTAGGGTGGAGAACCACGTCATTCAAAATTTGATGGCTTTTGGTACCGTTGTTTTTTCCACAGTGAGAGAAACATACATACATTCATGTAGTTTCTTCATTATTTAATTTCTTTAAATAAAATACAAGACGATAACATTTGCTGGCAACAGATTGAAAAGTGATACAACGTTCTTAGTGATTCAATGCAAAATGAAAAAAAAAAAGATAATTATTTTTTCACCAGCTGCAATTCTTTTTCGATCATCTGTTTTTCTATATATATGAAATGTTTCGAAACTACGTTTTTCGTGTTCGAAGTGATAAGTATTATTCAAAATAAAAGTACTTTCTTGGAATACAGATTTCAAGTACAGTTCGTTAAAATCTTTTCTAGGCAAGCTTGGCGCGGATTAGAACCTTTAGCAGAAAAAAGGTATCTGAAGCTTTTTTTCTTAACCTAGAATTTTGGATAGAAAAATCAAGAAACTTGTAATTAACATTCTTGTGGATTTCAAAAGCAACATCATAAAACCATACTGCGTATGATGGACGTAAAAAGATGCAAAAATTTGTTACCCTTTTTTACTGGATTAGGTTTGCTAAATCCAGAGTGAGGCATCACATCTAAATGGAAAAGATGTTAAAAAAAAACTTAGATTAACATGGCATTCAAACGCACAAGCCGCAATAGCTATTTAATAAGCATAGCAACAAATGGCATGATACAAGACAGACAAACCCCTAAAATAATGTTCGTCGGGAAAAGGATGACAGGCGAACTGCCTTCTTAGCGTCAGAAAACTGAGCATCGCAGTAATCGATTACTACATAGCAATTTTAATCGATTACTACGTAGCAATTTTAATGACTACGTATACCTACATGAAATGCCACCCAAATATATCCCGGCAATGGTATTTCTCTCTCTACAGCTACACGCATATATCAATAAATGTTTTCTCCCACAAAAGAGGAGACGGAAAAACGAAAAGAAGTAACAGCAATAAATATCAATAAAAAGAAAGTAAGCAAATCGAAATATCTTCCCTCCACAATGACGAACTGCAGCAAATGCTTAGAAGAACAGCTACGCCGTTTATTGATATCGACGATACTCTCTTCTTGTTCCCAACTCTTAAGCTATTCAAGAATGTAACAAGAAAACCGACGCTTATTTCTGAAAAAGGAGATGGAAAAGAGGAAAAATTTGGGGAGTAATACAGATCAACTGAAAAATAGCAGATTATCATGGTTAAAGAGAACTGGAAAATAAACAAATAAATAAAACAGGAAATTTGTATTTGCTCAATGCATATACATTGATATATATATATATATAATATTTTAAGAAACTGATTGAGATAAAATGAGGGCATTGACGAATCCTTTGAATTAATGCAAAGGTGTGATGCTCATAATTGGTAATGGATTAATTTTTTTGCTTACAATAAAATCAGTTTTGAAGCTAAATATCTGTATGAAACCGGCGATGTCTCTGAACCGGTGATAAATTTATACTTAAATAAAATGGGAAATATTTAACTCTACATAATACGTTTCAGCGATATATTTATTTCAATAAATAAATAAATGAATTCCAAAAGAAAATTACTAACCAAGCGAATCTAATACCTAATCAAAGGGAGAAAAAGGGGCGGGACATTCTTCTACAGTTTACTACTTATCATTTCAGTCGAAAGTGCTTCTAGCATTTCTTGTGTCTCCATTTACCAAAATCAATTCGAACATCCAAGCTCCCGTAAGTTAGACGTCCAACAATATTCAGTATCACAATTTTGAAAGGCATGCTCTAAAAAATCGGCAGATTACAAAAAGGTTTAATAACAGCAAGAAAATTAAATACTTGGAATATTTTTGCATCTTTTCACATTCTCTTCAAGTTTGTTTGGCCGTTTAATTAAAATACTCGATATCTATGGGCAATTACTGTCCAAAGGCCAGCTAATTGATCAGAAGCATTTGCCTCAACAAGGGAACCTATCAGTCATACACTCGTGTCATCACTGAAAGCACCGCCCTGAATACATTAGATAGGCCAATTTTGTACCCACGAGAAATGTGAAGAAACACATATACAGCCAAGCCCTACGCGGAATTCGAAACCATAGCCCTGTCTTGGGGTTTTTACCGCACAATTCGCTAATAGCCGCTACTATCCTACAACTCAGCACCTACCGGCAATGGACAATTACTTCATGGAAGAAGAGCTAAGGAAAACTGGCGCCTATTTTATCAGATCATCTCATTACGTAGTGTTATTTTTAAGCAGGTTTTGAAAAAATAAAAAAAATTAATGAGACACTAATTTACTCAACTATACATTAATTTGAATCAATAATATTCTTTCAACGCTTCAACAGATTTTGTTCTGCCACTGCTAAACAAATCAGCCATTTTGTCGGAGAAGTCTGGAAGACCCCTTTCAAGTGCCTTATGAAAACTGCATTCTTTTTCCTCAATGAAATTTTACAATCTTAAACCATCAGCCACTAAACGGTTCAAAAAAGAATATTTTTTCAGATGAATGAAAAGCAGTGCAGATGTTTCATACGATCTCTTCGATTAGTAAGTTCACGTGAAAACCACCTGCTAGATACTATTATAAGTTAATACATACTATAATAACATCATACATACACTCATTATCATTCACACTTCTAAATATAAAAGTATCTATTTAATTTTACAAATTCCTTTTGCTTGAAATGAATCTATAGTCTTTCAATGACGACAAGATAACTTACCTTTCGACAGTATTCGAGGATCTCAAGTTTATCCTTGGTACAGGTGGCTTTAGGATCTGTATCGGTCACCCATCGACGGTTTTCGTCAAGGTATTTGTTCAGCAACTTTCCATGTCCGCACAGGACTGCCACCATGGGCTGGAAGTGGTTGGGACCAGAATCCAAGTTATCATTTGCGTCTTCCTGCACAACAAGAAATACACACGTTAATAACAAAAGAAAAAAAAGTATTTGACTTATTGCCAGCATTCCCTCTTGTATAATTAATCTAGAACAAGAGAGAATATTACAAGCTGAGTATGATTTAATCATGCTTTTCAGAATTAAAGTTAATAATTAATTATATTTATGGTTAATATCAGTGGTTAAAATAATATGCGTCATCTTCAGAAATGTATTGCTACCAGAGTGATAATGATTTCGTTTCGACGCTTTACTAAAAAAAAAAAAAAAAAAAAAAAAATTAGCCACAAATTCATGTGTGCTAATAACCAGATTTTTATAAAAATATCATAATTTAATAGGGTAAATAAATTACTTTAATCAGTCTTTAACCAATTTGAGTAAAATTGATGAACTGATCCATCATGAAAATAGTGTCATGGATTCGAAAGAAATACTGACACTGTCCATAGGCTTCCAGATGAAGAAATCTACTGCATTTCCAGTTTTGGAGATACACTTTACTAAAACCAACATAACGGAAAAGATATAAACTTCCAAAGCTTCGACATACTAAGTACCCAAAGAAGAAGAGGAGAACTTCATACTTTACGTACATGTTGAAAATGCTCAAATTATGTAAGTATTATCTAAAAACCGCAATTTCTATGATAATACTTCGGTGAAGCACAGTCGACTCAGTTGTGATAAAAATTTGGAGTAAGCTGCAATGGTTCTCTGCAATACAACTCGGAGAGACTTTTCTACATAATTAGAAAGATGCCACTCGAAGGACAGACTTGCAGACAGACGTAGCCTAACTGAACCTAATGCAAAGTATATTTTTCTCCATAGTTAGTACGTCTTCACGTGAGTTTTGACAATTCATCTGAGAGCATCTAAACCAAAATCTACTCTCCGCCGCGTGTAATGCAGAATTTTATGCGTTACGCAGCAGAAGGCTGCAGGTAATGCTTCTTTCAGTTCAATAAAAAATTCACCTTCATTTTATAAACAAAATCCTTAAAGCCCCCCCCCCCAAAAAAAATCACAGACAGAATATCTAATCACCCAGTGTCCGCCAGCACTGTTCTTCTACGACAATGCTATACTATTCTCTATACTTCATGGTATTGTCTTCTACGACAATACCATGAAGTAATTAGTATATTATTATTCATGGTGTCTTATATGTTCTATAAAACATTTAGCACCATCTAGCTAGAGACATTACAAACTTCCGTAATGGTAATTTAATTGGGAAGTAAAATGAGTTGTCAACTACTACAGTTTTATTTTTATAGAAGAGAAATAGCATTATTTTCTCCCTTCTTTCCGCATGTCTTCGTGGTATAACTGGAATCATGTTAATCCGGAAGTCTGGAGTTTGAATTCCCGCAAGGGCATTGCACATACTTCATAGCTTCTTCACTGAAAGACCTAATGACCCGAACAAATTACGAATCATGTCGCAACACAGGGCAACATTTAGTCTGATAAATCCCTCCTCTCCAACATCACAGGCTCCACCAACACAGAAAGGAATGATTTGAGTACGAGCGCCCATGAAACCAAGAAAAGTTTTATAATGACTCACTTCTTCGGACGCTTCCCAAATCTTTAGATAGAAGATTATGTTAAACAACTTATTGCACGAAAACACTGGGTTTTCATGAAGATTTGGTCTTGAAAAATGATTAAGAATCAAAGGACAGAGATTACTACGGCGTCAAAAAGAAGAATGCCATTATCTGGAAATGTTGTTAGCATGAAAAATTACGACAATCGACTAGCACTTCTCAGAAGAGAATTCACAGTAAAGTTGTTAGGGACCAAGTTACCCACTCTTTGTACAGTCATTCTATCAAACACTCGAGGCGAGTATACGCTCATAAAAAAGCGGTTTCTTGTTATTTCACTCACAGCTCCGTCTGCACAACATGGAGTTTTATGGTCAGCAATAAAATGTTATAACCAGCCGGCAATTTTATCGTATAAAAGATAGTCTTTGAATTTTATTCATTAATAACAAAACAAGACCGCACTTTGGCAAACAGCCATTTATCTTAATCGTAATCGTTTTATGAGCCTCGACAAGGCTTTGCGCGCAAAGAGAAGGGATAAAGAAATCTTGGCATTGAATAATTCTCTCCCTTCTTCAAAATGATATTCCTGACAGCAATATCCGCAATGCCCACATATAGGAATCCTCTAGCTTCCTTTCCCGCCACCACTTTTTTGTCCCCCTCCCAACAATAGAGAATAGGCTGCCAGAAAAGCCAGGAAGAGATGCGGGTATGTCTATATCGATACATATGCAAAAGTAGGGGGGCACCATCTGGAAAGACCGAAACTATTTCATCCGACAATCCTGACGTTTTTTGACAGAATGTTCGGTATACCGTGTGTGACAGGATGAGCTGGATTCGTCCAGAAAAGCGAATCGCTTCTATAAATGGGAATTTTTCCTTCGCAAGAAGATATCACAGAAAGAACAAGACGCAAAGAGGAAAATCTATTAAAAGCGTTAAACAAAAGTACTGAATAAATTCGGGAGATACTTTTTTTCTCTACAGAAAGGGGGGAAAGAGAGCTAGGAAAAATGGTTGATTAATGACACTCTCCGGAAGCAGGCGTGATTAGAATTTAAATATACGAGTAATTCTATGCTTCATTACTTCTGTCAGGAAAATAAACCCAATGCAACCATATAAAAAAAAGTGTGAATAATGAGCAGATTTGAATAATAGCACCTAAGCACAAGATCAATATTAGATACGATGTACCATATTTTAGGATAAGTAAAAAAAAGTTAAAACAAATTAATTGTTTCAAGTACGTACGGTTGCACAAAAAGGGAAGAAGGAGAAAAAAAAAAGGTTAGGAGAAAAAGTGATAAAACAGGAATAATAACATTAACTTAATTCAGTTAATCAAAAAGGAATCAATTAATAACTACGCATAAAAATTCAAGGTTACTTTAAAAAAAATCTGATATCTCACACACACTTTTATGAAAAGTTATACATCGCAAAACAACATCCTGAGCTCGAGTCATTAAAACTCCTCCAGTTGAAGTTGAAAATAATAGTATCTCCATACGTAAAAAATATAAGAACTATATTTAATATATCAAATTTTTAATTAGAACATATAAAACTAAATGAATAAATAACAATAGTAAAGAAGTTCTCTGAAAGTTAGTTGCAACTTTAAAAAAGACTTGGCGTTAGGGAACAGCCTTTTTATCCTATCCTACACGTTTCATAAAACCGGTGAGACTAATTCAGAATGAGGTACAATTTATGTGCAAAGAAACTACTTCATTGTTTAGTATGCTTCTAAATGCCAGTATAATAATTTTAAGGACTAACAGGAATAAGAAATGCAAGTGGATTTAAGATAAAACTTACATTTAACTATACTACCTCCTTACTTTTGCAAACATAAAGACCTAGAAGATAAAACTTTTATCTTCGTGAAATCTGCAATATACAAGACAGACATAAGTTAATTTCTTTAATTAATTAATGCAAAGCAACAGAGACTGTTCAGGATGAAATGACTTCCTGGTGCATTTTATACGGAAAATCGACTATCATTCACATACTACGCCATTAATCCAATAAATTCTGCGACCAGAACTGAATACAAGTTGCAGTTACCAATATTCCAAGATACCAGATCACATATGTTATCTATCATATTATGCTTTATTCTAGTATATTTTTGAAGTTATCAAGATGCAAAATCCTTAATGAAAATAAAAAATAAATAGGCTGTTGACATATGGCTGGATTAAAAAAAAAAAAAAAAAACACCCGCTACTTCACGTGCATACATCGTTCAGATACAACGAGAAAGTCAATGCCAAAATTTTACACGATTTATGCATTTAATTAAACCTGCCTCCTTTAACGAGCAAGTCTGTAGAATTTTTGACGTTAATATGATAACTAAAAGTACACTGAAAAACCCAAAAGTTAAAAAACACAGTTTGAGTTTTTTCATCAGAAGAGATTTAGGCTAAACGCATATTTTACTAAAACGAAATCTGAGCTAGCAAATATGTAATCAGTAACGTTTCTATAACAAAGTTAAGCATAAGCTGTTGTGTATTAAAAATTAATCAGCTTTATCAACTTCCACAATACGAACAGTTATTTTACAAACAAGTTTAAGTTTAGTTACAAGCAAGTTTACCATGAATTCAAATCCTAACTGATTAAAAATTAACTAAATTAAATTTTCAAAATTACTAATCCTTAAAAATTTTCTTCTTATAATGAAAGAAACTCTGTCACTATTATTACGACTATTTATCAACTTAAATCTTTTATTTCCATCATATCCTTTATTACTCGTATGTCATATTTCATAAAAGCACAAACTTTAGACTTACTTAAAAAAGGTTAAAACAATCCATTCGAAATAAAGATATGACATACAGAAATCTTTACTTTTAAAATGGATGAAATAACGAAAAATGACACAGTAATGGAACCAGAAAAGTATGGAATGGATTTTTCTAAATCCTATTAAAAACTTACAATTTTTTTCTCTAGAAATTTCAGCTCATCTTTCTATCCGATCAATTTATTTTTAAAATATCAAACGATCTCCAGCGTTTTCAATTTGGATTGCCTTTTTTTTACTGTTCTAATGTTCAAATCTCGATTCAAAGAACCATCAACTCATGAAACATAAAATACATGATACATCTAGAGTCATATAACTGAAAAATTTGATGCGGACACCAGATGACTTCCTTGTACGGAATATTAAATTATGCACATTTTTGCTGCATTTCATTTACACTATTTCCTCGAATTTCATTAAAGATAGATTCCTCATTCGATTAATTCAGCTCTCACTTCGCGGCAAGGCGAAAATACATCAAATCTCAAAATATCTCCATTAAAAATTGAAAAATATAAAACATAAAACACCAAAATACAGTTAAAACAATTAAAAAATAATTTTTACAATTAAGAGTTTCTACACAAAAACAAGCAAT